ACAGCCCCCCCCCCCCCCCGCCTCCCCCGGGATATTGTTTATAAAAACAATGTGAAATGACAAAAATAATATTATATTTCATCTCAATATTGAGAAATAATATGCATAATTTATAACTTAGCAAATAAGCAAATTGAAGTTGAGAAGTTGTAGATAATAGATTATTAAAAATAAATTTTATTTAAATGTTTAAAATGTTTTGGCCTTTTTTATGCAAGTAGATATTGGAAAGAGTTAATGAGGGCATACAAAATTTTTGGTGGGGGCAAAGAGATCTTTGAAGTTCTCCTTTCTCAATAATACTATAATAGTCTAGAGGATGATATGTGAGGAATTAAGGTTCAAACATTGTTTTATGTGAAGTATATTTTTCTCTCTTCGTCCCGTCTACAACGTTTGATTGAAGTTACTTTCAATTATTTTATTTTAATATTGTTGTATGTTTTAAAATAAATTTCATTTATTCAAAATATATATCAAAAGTGCTACATACAAGAAAAACTTGACTATATTATTTTACACTAATAAGCTATGTACAAAAAATAGTACTCCGTAATGAAAGAAGATATTAAATAGTTCAACCGGTCAAACTAGTTATCCTTTGTCTTATACCCAAAATAAAAAAAAGTTTTGCATTCTTCTTTTATTGGTTGTCTAAGAAAGTGGTTCAATAGGAATCTTTATTTCTTTTCAAGTAAAACATCGTGTGGTTTCAAAAGTCTCTCTTTTATGTACACAATTCAACCGTACCTGTTCATTTTGATAATAATTGTGTTTAGATTAGTGTAAAATTTTATTTCGAGAGAGTATTTAGTTGTACTTATATATCTTGTTCCTATCCCATATTGACAAGATTATCTTAGAGTGAATCAATAATTATTGAATTAGTATATTATATTTATAAATAATAATCATAGAATAGTCATGACTTGTAACACGGTTTGCCCACTAATTCTATCTTGGAAAAACGTCTTCAAATTGTTTTCTAAGAAGAGGGCATTGCCCTCAAATTCTATTTCCTTTCATTATAAAATTATATATACACTTTCCATTCCTATTGGACTTGTTGTATTTCCATTCTCATTCTCAATATTGTAACATAAACTGTCATTTTATCTTAGATAAATCTATTTGCATAACACGATAGAGATAAAATTATGTCTTAGATTATATACATACATACATACATAAAACAACTCGAATTGAAAACAGCTTTTTAACCTTTTAATTAAATTTACGCATTTTAGACTCATACACAATATAATGTTTACATTATTGCATTAGGCTACCATGAAGATGTTCGCATTTGCGTTAGGCTACCATACAAGAGTGGAATCTTCAGTTATATTTCAAATTGAAAACCATATTTCCAAGTATAATAAAATTATATTTCAAATTTACAATTTAATTTAATTGAAAATAACAAATTGTTCAAATTTTGAATAAATAATAATCGAAATCACAAGAATAAAATTTTTAAAATTAAGTATAATTTTTTTTATTACTTTCTACATGCCTGAATTGAATATGCACTTCTTTTTTGTCTACTCCAAACCAAAGTTCTCAATTCTTCCTTCTCTTTTTATTAAAAGAATAAGCGGCTCACAATATTTTCCTCTTTTGAAACAAATATTTACCACATTTTTATTTTATTTTATTTTTTAAAAATCAAATTTTCAGAAACCACGTCTAGTGCAAACGAGCCACCGGAGATCGAGAACACTTCTCCCTCACAACAACATTATTCGCAATTTCGCATCGAACACAAATTATAAACCCATTCGGAGCCGGCTTTGACCAACGTGACATTGACCGTTAAGGAGGGTCGAATGTTGCAACGTATGAGACTTGTCCCGGGCAACTTGTTTTTTCTTTTGTAATGAAACATTCTATTTGGTCTATAACAAATATTTCCACTCCATTTATACCAAGAGTGATTTGTTGGGGACTACACATAAACTTTTACAACAATGCCCC